AAGATATATTAAGGTGACTAATAACTTACTTAAAATATTTATTATATAATATTAAATATTTTAATAGCTTCTTACTTCTCTTTCTTTAAAATATAATATTGTATAAGATACTATTAATAATTAAGAAGAATATCTCTTTAATATTAAACCTCTTATGCAATAACTCTTTAAGAAAAAATCCCTTCTAATAGTAAATAATACTAAGATGTCTTTAACTTAGGTATAAGCTAATAACATAAGTTAACTATAAAGACTATGAAACTATCTAGAGAATAAGTGTGCTTATATAGGCTAAGAGATTTATGCTTATAGCTACTTACTTATAAGCGCTTATAAGCATTATTTATTAGTCCCTTCTTATAAACACCTTGCTTAAGGTTGTCTCTGCATAAGTGTGTCCTTTCGCTAAGCCCCTTAGGCTTAGTTAGTCCTAGGGTCTCTTTACACAAGATCTGTATAGTCTCTAAGGCCTGTCAGTGCCTAGTACGTTCACATGTTATAATATTATCTCTTTCTCTCTTTAGCTTAGTCTTATAAGCTAAAAAAGTATGACTAGCTAAAGATATTAAAGATTTAATAAATCTTTTCCTTAAGTTTTTATCTAGATATTTTCTGTCATGTGTCACGTTAGAAACAGGCGATAAGTACGTAAGATCTTCAGCCTATATTAAGTGTTATCCTAAGACTGCAGAGCCGACAAGGATAGCACTAGGGTCGCTTCTATATAGTAAGCATGCCCCTTACTAACGCATAGTGCTAATTAATACCCGGCGGCCCTAGCGCTAGCGGCTAGCAAGTATAATAGTTATGACATCACCCCCCCCCCCCCCTTTAGAAGGCTTAATATATCCTTATATCTAATGAGAAAATAATAGTAGAACAGCAGTAAAGTAATAGCATAATAATAGCATTACAAGACTAATAATATTACAATATACGTCGTCTTATTTTTTAAGTTCTTTATATAATTACTTTATTATTATCTAGATGCTCTAAGAGTGGCTTATCTCTTAAGGCATTATTAAGCCAGTGCTAGAGTCGCTTTAGTAGACCAGCTTCCTGTAGGTATGTGTTGTGGTAAGCTTGTAATGCCAGAGAAGCGTTTTGCAGGTTGCTAGCGATGTACTATATATTGTTGGGGTCCCATCCTTACCATTATATTTTGTACTTTAGTCAACCTTTACTAATTCTTGACGATAGAATCTTCTTAACCTCTTACTCGAGATCTCTGTCAACTTTAACTGCAGGAGGCGGAGTAGGAACCTAGCCAGGGAAAGGATTGTTATCTGCCTTACGTAGCCGATCTGTGTGTAATAATAGCGAGATACAATAGAAGGACGGGAGCTCTAGCTTATAGGAGTAGCCTACTATTTCTAAAATGCGGAAGGGGCCTGCAACAGGATAGTCTAGCTTGTCAGAGGGTCTATCTGTTCTGAGATAGTGATTCAACTTCACAAAAGAGTTACGCCCAAGTAACCAAAGTTACTTAAATGCAGTTGGAATAGTATATTAATCCTTAATCCAGATGCCCTAGAGAGAGTCGGACCACGACTCCATCTAGGCCCCAGGAGGCCTCCATGTCAACTCTGTAACATGTTCTCTACAGCTTCTTAGTAACGAATACAAAGTCTCTTAGGTGGAAATCAGGTAAGTGACGTTTCTTATTAGCTTAACAAGCATGCTAAGCCTAAGCTAAGGTTATATTCATTCTAGCCTAGCTTACTACCTTGTTAATATAATGTAAGTGCTTCCTTGCCTGCTCTTAAGTAGCTATTTCTTACGCATTCTAGCGTAAGCCGTCACTTATCTATATCTAGTCAAAATCTAGACAGGGTTCTTAGCTGTACTTAATTATATAAGGTGTTAGTCCTATAGATTTGTAAACTAAAGCTGACTCTATAGCATCTAGTGCTAGTAAAAGATAAGCCTAGTCGTTTTAAAAGTGATTTATAAATAGCTAGAGCCTTATATTAATAATCTGATTAATAATTTCTATTTAACTATTTATCTAAGAATGAATTAATATTAATAGCTTAAGCTTAATATAATATAAAGGCGAAATAGCTTATTAAAAGGCGCTAATAAATTACGGTCCCCTGTCACTAGTAATAGTCTTTAGGCATCCTTTAAATCGTTATATATACCTATAAAAGAGGTTAGCTATAGTAGTTATAGTAGCTATTTTCTTTATTAATAAGCAAATATGTCTCTTGCTTAACTAATCTATTACTATAAAGATAGCGTTACATTTATTACTAATAATATTAGATATATAGAAATTTATTAAGAGGTTGTTCTACAGTTGAAGAGGAACAAATAAAGAATATAAAAGGCTAAGTGTCTTATTACATAACTTATAAGATTAATAGCATTTATAATAGTTAGTAATATAACGTACTATATTACTACTCTAATAAGGCTACTAATATAGCCTAGCTACTAAAGCATACATTTTTGCTTAACCTAAGTATGCTATAATTATTTATAAGTAGATTTAGCAAAGCAAGTATATATACAAGTTATTCTCGCCTAATTCTATTATAGTTAGCTAATATATTTCTGTTAGGGTTAGGCTCTCCTAGTTCTCTCTAATAACTTTTGCTATAACGTTAAGGCTCTTAATGTCCTTTATAGCAGCTACTTTTATTCTTATTAAATCTAATAGCGTCTAAGTTCTCTCTTGCGTCTTAGCTTCCTTCTATATTAAGGTGGCTTTATTCTTATACTCCTTGTTGCTGTAGCTTAGCTAGAATAATATTAATACTAGATTAAAGATTAACTAATATAATTACTCTTAGCTAAGTTACTCTAATAAGAGGATTAGAGAGGTCGAAGGATAGGATAAGGTTTTAATAATTAGTCTTAGCATTAGGGATAAGGTTGTTAATCCTAGCTAGACTAGATAGATTAAAGACAGCTATATGAAACTAGGCAGCTGCCTTTATATTCTTGTGTGTTAGCAACTAGTCGCTAGTAGATATTATTATTGTTAATGCGTGGCTCAGCTCTAATAGAGTATTGTGTAAGTTAGAGGAGAAATGTGACAGGACCTAAGAGGGTGTCGTAATTATTAAGATAAGGAAAAGGTTAGTGGCCTCTTTAAATAAGGCAGCTGTCTAACAGCTCTAGAGTATATTAACCCTATGTTTATACTCTGCCTTAACTACAGAGTCATTATATATATATGTACAGGGCGCCCTATTCTTCTACTTACTAAGTACAAGGAT